ATAAAAGTTTGGTGAAGAATTTAGTAAAGGGGTTTGGACTAAATACAAATTTTGAGCTACTGGCATATACATGATATCTGAACTCAGGAAATTAGATGAAATCATCATTTGGAATTAATATAGGAAAATATCAAGAGGCAAGTCCCTTGATATTCAGATTCGGGGTGAAAAAGAAGGAACCAGAAGGAACTATTAATAAGAGGACTAATGGAGAGGTAGGAGGAAAACTAAAAGCATGTTATGTTTCTGAAAGGTAGTGAAGAAAAACTGAAGAAGAAGCCATAAAAACTTAATCCAAGTGACCTACAAGGGATTAATCTCCAAAATATACAAATAGCACATGCAGCTCAAGTGAAAAAAAAAAAAACAACAACAAATAACCCAAACTAAAAATGGGCAGAATATCCAAACAGACATTTCTCCAAAGAAATATTTAATATACAAATGGCCAAGAGGCACACGAACAATGCTGAACATCACTAATTATTAGAGAAATGCAAACCAAGACTACAATGACGCGTCACGTCACATCAATCAGAAAGGCCATTATCAAAAAGCTACAAACAATAAATGCTGGAGAGGGTGTGTGGAAAAGGGAACCCTCTGGCACTGTTTGCGGGAACATAAATTGGTACAGTCACTATGGAGAACAGTACGGAGGCTCCTTAAGAAACTAAAATAGAACTACCACATCATCCAGCAATCCCACTCCTGGGCATGTAACCAGAGAAAAACATCCTCCGAAAGGATACACGCACGCCAGTGTTCTTAGCAGCACTGTTTACAATAGCCAGGACACGGAAGCAACCCAAAAGTCCATCGACAGAGGAGTGAATAAAGGAGACGTGGGACATACATACAATGGAATGTTACTCAGTCAGTAAAAAGAATGAAATAATGCCATTGGCAGCAACACGGATGGACCTAGAGTGTCATGAGTGAAGTGAGTCAGACAGAGAAAGACAAATATGATGTCACCGAATCTAAAAAAAATCACACAAATAAACTTATTTACAAAACAAAAGCAGACTCACAGACTTAAAGAATGAACTTACCAGAGAGGAAACACAGCCAGCAAGGGGTAGTCAGGGAGTTGGGGATGGACAAGTACACACTGCTACAATTAAAATGGATAACCAACAAGGACCTACTAAATAGCAACATGGAATTCTGCTCAGTGTTATGTGGCAGGCTGGATGGGAAAGGAGTTTGGGGGAGAATGGATGCATGTATATGTATGGCTGAGTCCCTTTGCTGTCCACCTGAAACTACTGTAACATTGTTAATCGGTTATGCTCCAAGACAAAATAAAAAGTTTAAAAAAAAATAAGACAAAATGGATAACCAACAAGGACACAGGGAACTCTGCTCAATATTATGTAACAATCTAAATGGGAAAAGAATTTGAAAAAGAATAGATACATGTATAACTGAACCACTTGGCTGTACACCTAAAAAACCAACACAACACTGATAATCAACTATACTCCAATATAAAATAAAAAGTTAAAAAAAAAAACAAACTTAACCTAGAAAACAAAACAACTCTCAGGAAAAAAAGGGCAATTCAGAAAAACTAAAGCAGCTGCTAACGGGAATGGTTATTTGGAAAGTTATGTCTCATCAAAATTAATCTATAATATTTGTACCCTTACTCTATTTCTTTAATTTTCTATCTATGAGATATGGGATGTTTACTAAACTTGTAATGATATTCATTTCATGATGTATACAATTCAAATGATTATGCTGTATACCTTAAACTTATAATGTGCTGTACAACAATCATATCTCAATAAAACTAGAAGAAAAAAGATTCATAACCTCACAATAGAGATTACAACTGGAAGGCTTAAAAGAGATCATTTGACCCCTTCTAGGAAGCAACAGGATTCTTCATTTTTAAAAGTCAACTACTAAAAGAAAACTTTCAACCTTGCTCTGAGAGTAAGAATGCCACAAAGCATACATGTTTTCTCTCAAATCATCACACATAGTCCAATAAGCAAGTAACCTTAGAATTTTTAACATAACCATGAAAGCACTTCACTGTATTTCTGAATCCTTCAAAGGAGACCTAGATAGAGAAATTAGTTCCCTAATTAAAGATGCAGTTTTAACAGCAAAGCTCATGATTAAGGACCAATTCCAATCCTATGAAGCTTTTACTAACCACTTTCACAAAAAGATACCATCTTTCTCCTTTGACTCATCCACTAAAACCAGACAATTCACCATCACATCATCTTAAATTTGAGTAACTCTTATTTTTATACCAGAACTGGAGAGATGCTTTACATACATTTATTTTGTCATCCTTACAACAATTCTGCGAAATTGGATTTATCCCTATTTTATAGATGTTGAAACTGATGGTTAGAGTCTGTTACCTAAGGTTACACAAGTATAAAGGGACAAAACCAGCATCTGCTTTACTCACTATGCAGTACTGCCTCTTGCATGAAAGTATTACACTAATAACTACCAGTCGCTGTGTCCTGGAACCCTGGACGAGTTTTTACACCTGTCAGTGCCTCATTCATGAAATAAGGATGGTACACTACAGGCACTGCCCTGTGGTGAAGATGAAATAAGGTAATGTATGTAAAATTCCTTTATAAACTGTAATTGTCGATGTTACTACTCAGAGTAGATTTTATGCTCCTTCAGCACAGGTTCTCATGCCTTACAGGCATTTTCCCTTCAACATTCAATGTGAATTGAACACCATCTTACCAGTCCTTGAAAGATTTCAGACACCTTTTCCCCCAGGGGAGGGAGGTAGTGTCCCACTGCATGAAGTCTGGATTGAGTATCGAACATCCCTAATCCAAACCTTAAACTACAACACAGTGACAAATTCAGTGTGCTCATCAAACATGACATTTAAAACCACCTGCCCGGCATTTAACTGGTGTTTCCTCTCCATCACGCCTTTAGTGCCATAAGAGTTCGAAAGGGAGAAAAATCCCAAATGAAAAAAATGTCACATTTTGTAAGAAAACATGCCTGGAAGGAGGGAGAACAGGATAAGGCCTGGTTTGTTATCCGAGTTAACAGAGACCTTGTTATTCTGTGTACAATCTGATTTACAGCCTCCTGATGACAGCAGTAACTATAACACTGTCTAACTCATCACTCATTATGAAATTTCATTTACTTTAAGAAAAAGACCAATAACATATTTATGAAATTTCTGAGGGAACACTCACTCCCCCTTCAATACAATGGACGTATCCAGTGGTATATCTGGGGATGGGAGCTGGTATGCCCCAGAGGAAGACCCTGCCAGGCGTGTTCTCCAGGACACAGCAGGAGGGAACCAGCCCCTGCTATGCCATGGTTCTGGGGAAGCTGCTCAAAATCTTTGTTAATGATGGATCTGTTTTCCAGCCTGTAAATCATGAGCTAATATATTTATTCTGCCTACCTCACAAGTTTACTGTGAAGGTCAAATGAAATAATATATGTAAGTTAATTTACAAATTACATTACTAGAAATTACCAGAAATAACCAGATAATCAGCTACCACTTGTTCTTTGGTACATGTCAGGTACTAGCGACTTAGCAGCAGCAGCAAAGTTAAGATATTGATTTCGCTAAGTGTTTTCACATTATAGTAACAAAGAGAATTTTTTTAAAAAAATCTACTCATCTCTGAAAAGGACACAACAAATGTTTTCTTATCTACGGAAGCTATGGAAGAAGTAACTGGTAAGGTTGATCTTCCCACAATGGATCTATGTATATATATGTATATATTCTAAATTATTTTCAGAATAACTATGTCTTCCTAAAAGAGTGAAAATGGACTCTCAGATCAAGATGTAGCCACAGACTTCATATGTGATAGCTGTCACATACCAGGTCATTTTACCTAGGAACTTGGTCTCTGCAAAATGCCTCATGGTTCAGAGTCCTAAAAACTAGTCCTCTCCTTGTCTCCCCATTGATCATTCAAGCTACCTCCTTAAAACCTCTGGCAAAAAGAGAATAGGAGAATTAAGGATTCAAATGATCTTAGATCCAAGATCATGTCATTTACTAGCTGACCCCTTGACCCCAGTAATTCTCTGAACTACACTGCCAAATTACGCCAGAATTTTAACTAGAGAAAAATTGCACAAGCGTCCAAAAGTAGACTGAAAGCTAGAAAAACTCCAAAGCACACAGTATACACATAAAAGAAAAACTTATCCTAGTACCATTTTTGTTTATCATTTATCAACTATGTTGAACTATAAATACATTTTCAGTCATAACAATAAGGATAAAGGAAGAAACATAATAATAATCACTTTTGAGCAAATTTTGCCAGGGGCTAATACTTTAGACACAGCTTACTCTTATTATAAGAGGTTGAAATTTGCCTTTGCAATATAAATAAGCAATATAAAGTGCCCGAGCACTTGAAATCCTAATTTCCTATGAAACCCTTGCTCTCTCTTGTTATTTGGAACTTGCTAACATTTCTCAAATAATCCTCCAAATGGAATTCCCATTTTCTCAGAAGTATCTCACAAGTAGACAAAGTGCTTCTTTGTGTCAAAGCCACTGGCTTTTACTATTTACTTAATTTTTGCACCCTTTTGTTGAAAAATAATTTATTGGTGTTGCCAAAATCATTGCACCATCTTTGTCCCTGATTATGATTAATAAGCCATTTGAACAAAAAGTGACCTGTCAACCTTTTTGTATAGATGACATTTGTTCCAACATTTTAGTGTTCTTTTAAAAAAAAAAAACAAAGTTGGTTTTGTTTGTGTAGGTTTGGCAATCTTTTAAATACCAAAGCATACCATGAAACATATTCTCTATTTAATGACTGGATGACTGTGCTGACCTTGTCTTAGGAGACCTTGACTTTCAAGAGTCCCTGAACTACAATCAGGATAACATTTAAGGCCAATGTCAATCTGAGCTCTCTTGTTCTTCTGAGAAGCTTCTCTGTATGAAATAATAATATCTGTTACCAGCAAAGCCAGAGAGGCGTACTCACCAAGTGAACATAAGGTACAAAGTAGCCGAAAAGTGCAAGAGGTATTCCAATGGCCCACACTGCATATGCTGTCACCTTGAAGATGGCAAAATTGAACATTTTTTTTGGAGGACTGAACTTTCTCCTGGAAAAGAGGGAGAGTCTGTGGCCTCCTTTGGCTGTACCATCTTTCTCTTTGGCACTGGAAGCAAGAGGTCGGTAAGTGAAGCCAGCCAGAAAGAGAACAAACATGAAGATACACAGGACCCTGAGGGTGTGGAAGAGGCCCACGCTGTCGGTCATAAACCGCAAAAGGAAAGGCAGCAAAATTGTGAAGATGCTGCTGCCAGCAGTGACGATGCCGTTCACCAGTCCAAGGCGCTTCTTGAAATAGTGTCCCAAAATGACCAAGGAAGGCTGGTAGGCGAAGGAGCAACCACAGGCAAATATGATTCCGTAGGTCAGGTACAGAGGCTCAATGGAGCTGTGCGAGGATGAAAAACATGCAGAGTGGCTTTCATTATTTTTATCATGTGCTTGGAAGAATAAAGCCTTATGGTCAAAGTGGGTTTCAGCTAATCAACATATTTTCTACAAATAAAAATTAACCAAAAAGAGGTTAAAATCGTAATAAGAATACAACACTACAATATTTTAATTTCATCTGAACAGATAATAAAAAATGCCTTAATATGTGAAAAATGGTCAGTAAGGTCCTCAGCGATTGGATCCCTCCTCTTTCTATCGACTTTCAGGAGAACCATGCAGCACTGGGTAAAAACTGTGATGCTCTCCAACTCAGAAATAAAGAGTGGTGCCAGGAAGGGCCTCAGTGACATTGACAATGATTAAACTACCAAAAAAAAACTAGTCTCAATAAAAGCTTTTAAAAAGTAGAATTTAACTATGAAAACTCTTTTCCTTAATGGAATTTTCCCAGGGGCTTATTAATCAGCAGTCTACTCAAAGAGAAGGCTATGTTGGATATTTTCTCCCCCGGCTTATGCAAGGAACGGCTGCACAGACAAGCAGTTGTGCGTCTGTGCGTTTTGCTGGCCTGAGGGCTGCAGACCAACCTTCGCCCTGTGCTGCACTGTTCTCAGTGTTGGGCAAGATAATGAGAAATCATATTCTGATTGCAGGACTACCAAATGAAGTGCATTCACTACCGATCCCAGTCTGTAAGCTTTAGGGCCAGGCAAGTCTCAACAAAAATAATCAAAGGTTAAGAATTCTGTATTAAACCAAATAACTTAATTACACACTTCCGATGAAAGTAAAGGAACAGAGGGAATTCCCTGGCAGTTCACTGGTTAGGACTCAGAACTCTCACTGCCAAGGGCCTGGGTTCAATCTCCGGTCAGGGAACTAAGATCCCACAAGCTGCACGGTGCAACAAAAAAAAAGAAAAAAGAAAATGAACAAAAGAAAAGAGAAGGCTGAAGTAAGAGGAGGCTGCAGAGTGGAGGAAATTTTTTAAAAAAGAAAGTAAACACAGCATTACATTCTTTGAAACAATTAAGGAGTAAAAGAATGCTGAAGTTTTTTTTCTTTTGAAAATTCAGAAGGCTGTGTATCAGTAGTAAAGGCAAGCTCTTTATTAGAAACTAAGATAGATAAAGTTGGTTAATAATTAAATTTTGAACAATAACTGTAGCCTAGCAATATGCTGAGGTAATCACAAGGAACTCTAGAATCTGATAAAATTAAGGCAGGCTGGCAGTCCTCTCACTCTGAGATGCCCTTTCCCCGTCTATTAATCTACGTAAAAACCATCTTCAAATCAGGCTCAAGAGCCAGTCCCTAATTCTCCCAAATTAATCTTACCTAACTCTGATCACTCTTTACCAAAACCCCACTTTTATTCAATAAACATACTTAATAGCTACTATGTTCCAGATACTTGATGAAAAAAATATTTTAAGTGTGGTTATGCCCTATTTCTTCTAGTCTGCTCAGTAAAACAAGACACCTACCTGAAATAACAAGAATGTAAAACAAAACATAAATAATATTTCACTCATTCTGCATCAGTTTTTTTCACATAAGTATTTTTCCAGATAACTGCAACAAATTTCTTAAGGTGCCAATTTACTTTTATTTAACAATTTTAAAGGAAAAATCTAAATACATTTTTCTCTGCCTTCTTCAAAGTGTATGTTAAAAATAGTATTGACAGCACCGTATTTTCATAAACAATGACAATATGTACAGTTACACTACATTATTATAAAGCTGTCAGTTGGAAAACCAGAGAGCCAAGGACATAAATCAAGACATTCTTTTGCACACCATTTAAATACGGAGTGCTGGGTAAGATTAGCTTTGTATCTCTCCTACAGAGTAAAATACATCAGCTTTGTGATGGCAATTTCACTGCTGCTGGAACCTTCTTCACTTCTAATTTTCACTTCAGTAGCAGATGGTTCAAATTGTTGAAGTTGACAACTGAGTAAGTGCAGTGTAAATCAGTAAGATATCAAGTATGCGTGGGAAAAGTATTCAAAGAAGAGACACTGATGCAGCAACCTGGAATCGCTAGAGAAGGCTTTCTTCAGAAGGCAGGATTTAAACTAGAGGAAAAAAAGGTCAGTCCACTGTTCAACACTTGGAATTTATCCCACATCTCCCCTTGTTCCTCTGTATGCTCTGAAAGTTCAGCAGCTTCTGATCAGTGGGTTAAATAATGAAACTGAACAGAAGATATGAGAGCATTATATGTAGTAAGGTAAAGATCCCTTCAAGACAGTTTGTTTTAGGCAGCGGTGGGGATGGGGGACGAAGAGAGAGAAAAAGAACTAGGTCACCACGTAAAATACATTTTATAATTTTTATTTCTCACTGGTCAAAAAAGTTTGAGCAACATTGCTTGCTGTAAGTAGGTGTGTGTATATGAATTTTGTCTACCAAACTAGGTAATAAGTTACATGAGTTTTTTTTTTTAATCTCTTAGTCTCTCTCTCCACCAAAGCCTGAGTGTTAATACTTCAGCAAACGCTAAGGTCACTGACTGCCAATGGGTATCTGGAGGCTTCTGGACCATGCAGGGATCTGATGAGGCAGTGAGAACACAATACTGTATCAGAGATAAAGGAACTAAAAGTAAATGATCTCACAGAATCACCTAAGTAGAATATTATCCCAAACAAAACTGGTTTTTTATTTCTTTAAAAAACAACTTTAGAAGACAAGAACAAAGACAACTTTAAAAGTGGAATATTTATTTTCAAATGAGAAATAAAAACAATTGTGTAGAATCCAAATGAAATGTCTAAGGTGAAAGAAAGAGACTCACTTTAGAGCTGAGGAAGGGGTATGTGTGGGGAGAGTGGCGGTAAAACCAAGGATTCTGTTGATTCTGAATATTTAAAAATAAACAGGGTGGGACTTCCCTGGTGGTCCAGTGACTAAGGACTCCGAGTTTTCACACAGGGGCCTGGGTTTAATCCCTGGTTGGGAAGCTAAGCTTCCTCATGCTGTGTGGTGTGGCCAAAATAAAGATTAAAGAAACAAAAAATAAATAAGTAAACAGGGCAATGGCCAATGAACATATGAAAAGATGCTCAAGATCATTAATTAACAGAGAAATGCAAATTAAAACTACTATGAGGTATCTCCTCACAGCAGTCAGGATGGCCAGCATCAGAAAATCTACCAACAATAAATGCTGGAGAGGATGTGGATAAAAGGGAACCCTCCTATACTGTTGGTGGGAATGTGAACTTACACAGCCATTAGCGAGAATAATATGAAAAAACTAGGAATAAATCTACCATATGACCCAGCAACTCCACTACTGGGCATATACCCTGAGAAAATCATAATCAAAAACGACACATGGACCCCAGTGTTCACAGCAGCACTGTTTATGATAGCCAGGACATGGGAACAACCTAGATGTCCACTGACAGATGAATGAATAAGGAAGATGTGGTATATATACACAGTGGAATATTACTCGGCCATAAAAAGAACAAATTCAAGTCAGTTCTAGTGAGGTAGATGAGCCTAGAGTTATACAGAGTGAATAAGTCAGAAAGAGAAAAACAAATAAAGTATATTAGCCATATATATGAATCTAGAAAAATGGTATCGATGAACCTATTTTCAGGGAAGGAATGGAGACACAAATGTAGAGAATGGACTTGTGGACACAGTGGGGGAGGGAGAGAGTGGGATGGATGGAGAAAGTAGCATCAGCGTACATAAACTGTTAGGTGTAAGATGGACAGCTGGTGAGAAGTTGCTGCGTGCTACAGGGAGCCCAGTCTTGCGCTCTGTGATGACCTGGAGGGATGGGATGGGTTGGGGGTAGGGAGGCTAGAGAGGAAGGGGATCTAAGTATAATCATGGCTGTTCTGCATTGTTGTGTAGCAGAAACCAATGCAACACTGCAAAAAAAAAAGCCCTTTTTTTAAATTAAAAAAAAAGAACAAATAAACAGGGCAAGCAATGTAAGTTTGTTTTTTTTTTTCCTAGTAACTACAATAATGCTTTTCAACTAGAGCTTGAAGATAGCTAGGGAAGAGAAAGGGACGGGAAATGAAGATAAACCACAAAAGTAGACAGAGGATGGAAATCACCTAAGGGTTTTCCTGTTAAGTGCTGCCGGTTAGCCAGAGCTACCCATTTAACCAGTGTTTCTCTATCCGGGGATTAGCCTGACAATGAAAGAGGATTTACAGGTTAAATAGGAGCTGGAGGGAGAGGTGCTTCCAAGGTAACTGTGCCCATCAGCTCTCTGCAGTTAGCTCCTCTGCAGTGCTTCTAATAGACACACGGAACAATGTATTGATAGGAATTTTTATTTTAAGCTGCATTTGATCACTTCATTTTGTCATGATCTTTTTAAATTTCAGCACTGTTCTTTCCCCCTCCCCCACCCCCACCCCCCAAAAAAAAGTGCAGGCAGGAATTCTCTACCTGGGTTGAAATAAACAGCAAAGTCTAGATCTCATTAATAAAAATATTTCACATCAAGCATATGAACAACCATTTCAAAATATCATCTCTTGTATGCTTTGGAACTCACAATGAGTTGAACTCAAATTAAGGCCATTGCTTTAGACAACTTCACTGCTAGAATTTGAGATCTTCGGGATTTTTTTTGTGAATGGAAAAAAACAAAAGGAGAAATATTTTTTCTTGGCTCCAGGGAACGCATGTACCCTGACTGGCATCTCACTCTGAGGCACTGCAAGCAAAAGCATTCAAATTTACAAGCTCTGATTTGCAAGCTGTGGACAGTGCATAAGTCACATGGCTTCAAGTTTTAAGCACTGAAAAGGAGGACTTTTTTTTCCTTGTAAACAGCAAACTTTCTGAAAGGAAGTCTGGAAGAGAGCTCACAGATTTTGAAAAGCAACAAGAAGAAACCAAGTCCTTACCTTACAAAGGAACTTGATAAGAGTCCAGCAAATCCAACAGCAGCGCCCACGACAGCTGTTTTCGAACAACCAAATATGTCTGTGAAGACGCTGACAATCGGGCAGCAGAAGAAAATCATCCCCATGGAGAGAGAACTAACCCATGCTGCAAGAGAGGGGGAGATGCGCGACGTTATGACACGGGGCGTTCTGGTTGTTCTTATCTCATAGAATGTAAGACATAGTGAGAAAAGTACAGTGCAGGAAAGATACTACTCAGACAGATGAATGCGGGAAGTCAGAATAAGTAACAAAGCTGAATCACAGATCAAAGTGTTGGCAAGTACTCATTATAATTAGCAAAGCAATTATTTGTGTTTAGTGGAACTTCTGAAAAAATTTTGTATCCTTAAATAAATCAAACATTCTCCTGGGACCTAATCTCTATCCTGATAACTATGGTTTTAAGCAACTTCTAATCTGTGGAAAGAAATCTGTCTTAAAAAATTGAAATATATTTAGGAACCCATGCCTAAGTGATAAAACTGCAAAGAAATGATGACCACCGACCTCAGCAGTGGTGAAACTTGAAGAAAAGGAGTTATAATCATATGGACACAGTAGTTAAGAATCAAACATCTGCGTAGAGTCTGGGCTTTGTGCTTTTGTTAAAGGAATCAAATCCACACAGGCAATTTATTGACCTAGATAGTAGTTACTGTATATTCACTTTATTCATAAAACCACACACATGTTTATCTTCTTTTTTGAAGGTATGTCATCATTCACAATAGAAAAGATGTAAGAATCAGGTCATAATTTCCTGTTCTGATACTGTAAAGACAAAAACAAAAGGAAAGCAAAAGAGAGACATACCGAGTACAAATGATCATAAATTTGTGCCAAAGAAATGAGTGATCTTGTAAGACACTGAGTCTGTGAATTCTTAAAAAGTATAATGAACTAGTGAGCCCTAAGTGAACATGAGCTATAAAACAAGGAAATCCCTCAAGTCCCCAGCTCTGGAACTATCCAACAAATTCTTGGGCAAATCATTTCCTCTGAGTCTGTTTTCTCACCTTAAAAGGGGATTGAGCACAGATCTTTCCAGAATTATTAAAGATTAGAGAAAATGTGTCTAAACCTCCACATCTAGGAGAGTGCTTAATGCAGAGTTTTAACAACAACAACAAATTCGTCTTATAAAATGAAATGATCTCCAGCATTCCACCCAGCTCTGACAGTCTACTAGTAAACCACTCTATTTCCTTAGCAAAGGAAGTGAAGTCCAGGCAGACCCTGTACAAATGACTATTTGCTAATAATGGTATCCAAATAGAGCTTCACCAGACTAACAATTTAATTCTTTGCCTTCTTACATTTTAAGTTATTTTTTAATTATGTATATTTTATCAGCCATAATTTCTTTCCTTTCTTTCCTTACCAGAAAGGAGACAAAACACAATGAAGAGACTGTACAAACAATGCAGGCTTAGCTTAGGTGTTGGTGGGAGGGATTCAGAAGTGGACAGGAGAGAGGTGATGGGCCAGATATTAGCACAACCACAGCCCCGGCTGCACCCGCTCAAGAAGTATGACTTTTTCAGTCCATGTTATATAAAAATGTTACTGATTTTTAACCATTTAATCTCATTCCAAAAAAATTTAGTCATCTATCATGTTGCTGAAACAATCTAAACCAGTCTAGTCAGACTAGAACAGCATCCTAACCTTTATTTTTGGATGAAGGTACTTGACAAGTGAAACGCCAACACTAAACAGGAAATCACCTTAAGAAATTCAAGAGCAAATATTCATATTGCACTAATGTTCAAAGAAGTCAAGGTATGTTTCAAAAAGAAAAACAAGTCTTTATGTGTTATCTGGGTATTGGTCTACCGTAACACCAAATGTGAAAATTTTTTCAGAATCTTATGTCCACTGAACAAACACTAAGTGCAGGAAATAATCAAATACAACTTTGCTTTTGTCTCAACTGTTGTCTTAAAATGCACGCATGGAGAAAATGTTCCGATGCCACTCACTGCATGAGCGCTTCAGCAAGCCCGCCTGATCCTTGTAGCCAGGGCTGAGTAACAGAAAGGCCTCAGTTGCTTTAGGTTACAAGCTAACCTTCACTAAGAAATCAAATCTTTTTTCCTCCGGAGGAGAGGAAGATCAGCTTGGTCTCTTTTCCCTGGCCCTTCTTCCCCTCCCTAGCTACTGCTCTGTCCAAAGTGGGCGGGCGTGAGACAGAGGGCTGCTCGGAGACAAGGCAAGGAGACTCCTACTTAACAGGTCCTGCCAAAAGGCCCGAATGGTGATGCCTGAAGCGGACGCTTTCCCTCAGATGCACTTCCATGGGTTCCTGCAAGTCTCACCTCAGAGTTCCTTCTGGCTATGGCTCCACAGACAAGGGCAGTTCACTCTCCTCCTGGCTTTCTGGCTGGCACTTAAAAGACTCACTGTTGGAGCCTCGTTGCCCTTCTAGACAGTTTATTTGGGCAGGGATCAAAACAGCTCCTCTCTCCTCCACTCAGCCTGCCGCTGCTCTGCAGGAAATATTCATGTTTCCTCTGCCCTGACAAACACTGGAGTGTGGGCAAATTCCACACGGCCCCCCTCTTGCCGTGGGAGCAGTCGGCCAGCTGCAGTTCTATCCTTGTTGGATTTCTCACGGGATTCAGACCGCAGTCCTCTGTATCCCCTAACTGAAGAGAATCCTTTAAACCTCTAAGTGGTCCCTCTAAAGCTCCTCTCACTAGGTTATCAAGTGCCAGAGTGTGTACCCCAACTTCTCCCATGAGGGGTGGGTGGAAGGAAGCCACAGCATAATTTCATAAAAGAATCTTCACAAAATGCTCTTCCTTGACCCATAAATATCCTTCTTCTGGGTTTTAGAGCCTCCAACTGGTCCTTGAACTATCCCACTCTTGAATTTCACACTTCTGTACCTTAATGCCTCAGCTAAATTCCCAACATCTTTTTTTTTTTTTTTTTGGCCACACTGCACAGCTTGAGGGATCTTAGTTCCCCTGCAACGGAATCAGGGGAATCCTAACCACTGGACTAGCAGGGAACTCAAGAAATCCTCTTTTTAGAAAATTTTTATTGGAGTATAGTTGATTTATAATGTTGTGTTAGTTTTGGACATATAGCAAAGTGAATCAGTTATACATATACATATATTCACTTTTTTCTTTTAAGATTCTTTTCCCATATAGGCCATCAGAGAATATTGAGTAGAGGTCTCTGTGCTATGCAGATTCTTATTAGTTATCTATTTATATACAGCAGTGCATAAATGCCAATCCCAATCTTCCAATTTATCCCCCCCCTCGTAATTATAAGTTTGTTTTCTACATCCATGACTCTATTTCTGCTTGATAAATAAGTTCATTTATACCCTTCTTTTATATTCCACATATAAGTGATATCATATGGTATTTGTCTCTCTGTGTATAACTTACTTCACTCAGGATAATAATCTCTAGGCAAATCCATGTCACTGCAAATGACATTATTTCATTCTTTTCATGGCTGAGTAACATTGCATTGTATATATGTACCATATCTTCTTTAACCATTTCTCTGTTGATGGACATTTACAGTGCTTCCATGCCCTGGCTATTGTAAATAGTGCTGCAATGAATACTGTGGTGCATGTATCTTTTCTAATTATGGTTTTCTCTGGGTATATGCCCAGGAGTGCAACTGCTGGGTCATATGGTAGTTCTATTTTTAGCTTTTTAAGGAACCCCCATACAACATACTGTTCTCCATAGTGAGTGTACCAATTTACCTTCCCACCAACAGTGTAGGAGAGATCCCTTTTCTACACATGCTCTCCAGCATTTACTGTTTGTAGATTTTTGATGATGGCCATTCTGACTGGTGTGAGGTGATACCTCATTGTAGTTCTGATTTGCATTTCTCTAATAGTGATGTTGAGCATCTTTTCATGTACTTTCTGGCTATCCATATGTCTCTTTTGGAGAAATGTCTATTTAGATAGTCTGCCCATTTTTTAATTGGGTTGTTTTTTTTGACACTCAGCTACATGAGCTGTTTGCATATTTTGGAGATGAATCCCTTGTCAGTTGCTTTGTTTGAAATATTTTCTCCCATTCTGAGGGCTGTCTTACTGTTTTGTTTATGGTTTCCTTTGCTATGTAAAAGCTTTTAAGTTTAATTAGATCCCACTTTGTTTATTTTTACTTTTATTTTCATTATTCTGGGAGGTAGATCAAAAAAGATCCTGTCAAAGAGTGCTCAATGTTCTTCTCTAAGAGTTCCATCGTGTCCCGGATTACATGTAGGTCTTTAATCCATTTTGAGCTTATTTTCGTGTGTGGTATTAGGAAGTGTTTTCATTTCATTTTTACATGTAGCGGTCCTGTTTTCCCAGCACCACGTTCTGAAGAGACTGTCTTTTTTCCATTGTATATTCCTGCCTCTGTCATAGATTACGTGACCAAATACATGAATTCTTGAATGAATCTATTACTTGACACTGTTTCTGTAAAATTTTAACATGGCATAACGAAGAATCCAAGGTTTTACAGATTATGCTATACACCATAAAAATAAAAGAGCCTGTTGTTTTCTTCTGACCCTTCCAAGTCTGCCTATGATCACTATTAATGATAGAAGCTGAGAAACTGAAAGACACAGTCACTCTATCCAGCATGGTAACTTTTGTTTAAAAAATGCAAACTAGCCCTAACCCCTCCATGTAATTTGATCAAACATCCACACAGGGCTTCCTAATACTGTTGAAGAGCAAATATTTTCCAGAGGAAGAGATACTATTTAAAATGTGGAATAACAACATTCCAAGTAAAAGTGCCTGTTATGTACGCTCTCAGCACTATCATAGGCTCCTGAGAATATTAAAACAACTAAAATATTTTTCTACCTTCCAATAAGTTCCATCTAGTAATATACATATGGAAATAGAGGTCCAACCAGAACACCATATAGAATGTGCTAAATGCCTTAAGAGATATAGATTTCAAAAAATGTATAATAAAGAAGGGATTAAAAATCTCCTGAAAACTTACCAGCATAGAATCCCTAATCAGCAAAGCTTGTTACATACTACTGTATCTTCTTCTCATTTGCAATACTGTTTTTAAAATGTATGTAGATTATGTTAGTAATAAA